CCCCCAAAACCCCAAAACCCCAAAACCCCTAGGAAAATTTAAAGAATTGAATAGATTTGTTAGTAAATTTATAAACTTTGAAGTATGGGCTGGTTTAGAAATAGGGTGGACTTTTCGAGACTGATAGTTATGGCAGTTATGGTGATAGTCATGAATGGGCTTTGTAGAGCACAAGAGAATGAGTGACTCGCAGCTATATTGGAGAAATTGACTAGTGGAAACCAAGCAGATTTGATGGCAATGATAGTAGGCACTGGGAAAGGACTTAATGACTTGGGCGAATACGACCTTTGTATTAACAATCCGGATACCACTTATGCAACTGTCTCTGCTTTTCCTCTTCCTGCTTATGTAGGAGTCTGCTTACCCAGTGCTTGTAATAGCAAACACACTGAGATTGTAGAAGCAGCTATTACTCAAATGGTTCAGCAACAAGGTATGAAGGCTGAGGGTAAGGTTGATTTCCCAGACTCAGAACCTCCAAAAGTTACAGCTGGAAATTGGATAGGCTTCTTTGGATTTGGATTTTTGATCCTTTTATGACTCGTCGGGATAGGAGTAGAATATTCTAATCTCTTCGGAAAAGTGTACAATGAAGGTATTGAAGAATCTAAGCATGATAAGGCTTTAGTAGACTCAAAATAATAGTCTAGGAAAATTCTTCCTCTCTTTCTCATTCTCTAGAAACTTAAGGAAAATGTTTTGGACTCCTCAAAGGGGTGATGACTTCCTCAGTGTATTAAATGGTTTGAGGGTCATCAGTATGGCTTATATCATCTTTGGCCATATCCACGAATCTATGCAGGGCTTACCAATTATTAACCCTGAAGAAGCTCCGAATCTCATAAGTAGCTGGTATGGAGTTTTTGTCATGGGCGGCTTTTACTCAGTAGACACTTTCTTCTTCCTCTCTGCTTTCTTGGGAGCTTATTTGATGACTCCAAAGCTTATGAAGATCAATGTGTTTAATTTTATTATGATCTATATTCACAGATTCATTAGGATCATTCCTACTCTGGCCCTGTACATAGCAATGTTGCTAACATTTGTAAATTTTATGGGATCAGGCCCAATTTGGGACACAGTGAATGTTTTCTTGGTTCAATCGTGCAAGAAATATTGGTGGACAGTCCTGACTTTCTCCAATAATTTTTATCCAGGGACTTCCGATATTGGATGCATCGGAGTTTTATGGTATATATCCAACGATATGATGTTCTTCATATTCCTTCCTTTTGTTGTTTTTGCTTATTGTAGGAACAAGTTTATTGGATACGTTCTTACCAGTGGGCTAGTTATGGCAAATATGATCATTGTATTTGTCCTCTCTGCTGTTCATCACCACCCAATGACAGTTACCAAGGATAAAAATTCCACAGAGATTTACCACAAGCCATACTCCAGATTTGGTGCATACTTTGTAGGATGCTTGTTTGGCTTCCTGTATTATGAGTGGAAGAAGTCAAAAACCACTCCTGAGTATCAGGGAACTCTCGGTGCTATTTTCTTCAGCTTTGCCGAGTCCAGAAGGGCTGTGAGGTTAGCCTTCCATTTTATCGGAACAGGAATAGTATTGTTTCTCGTTATGATTACTTATACAGAAACTAAAGAACCTGGAGATCTGATAGTATGGCCACAGATTGCATCAAACTTCTTCAATGCTTTCCACCGCCCATTATTTGTCATTGGTCTTGCTTTATTTTTAGTTGGACCAATAGTAGGAAAGAGCAGATTCCTCAGATTTGTATTAGGCGGATCTGCATGGGCTCCTTGGGCGAAAATAACCTTCATGGTCTACTTGATTCACACAACCCTGATAATCTGGTTCTACTGCCAAGTAAGACAGGCTCTGTATATGACAACAAGAGTGGCTGTCTTTTATTGGTTTGCTTGCTTCCTCCTATCATATCTGGTTGCTATACCGATTACATTATTGATTGAGTCTCCAATTTTACAATTTGAAAAATTGCTTTTATTCGCAACACCACCAAGGAAGACAAATCTCCAAAAAATTGAAGAAGAGTTAGAAGCCAAGGTTGGGCTGTTAAACCCTGATCAGATTCATAGCAAAGAGTCTAAGTAAGTTTTGATCGTTATAATCCATAGAATGAACGACACCAAGGCTGACTAAATCATTTCTGAAGTAAATCCTAATTATATCTGGTCATCTTCAGGCTATCCAAATTCCTTGGGGTTTTGGGGTTTTGGGGTTTTGGGG